CAATACAGTGGAAGCTTCCGAGCAAAGCATCTCTGAAGATGTAAGTTACTCGTGCTGGTGAAACGCCTAGGAGGAATTCGAATCCTTGACGACCTAAAAGCCGCAAAAGTTCACCAGTTCCAAAGAACGGCCAAGGAAACTTTCTTTCTTCCATGAGTTATTTGAACGTCTTATTCCCAAGAACTGATGATTAAGCAGATCATATGAGTTTCGAAGCAAAGGAGACAGATAGTTATCGCCAGTCCACAAAAAAATTCAAAAAAGCAACAATCAGAAAATATTCTAAATCTCATAAAAGAACCACAAAACTATAAATACAAGTATATGAGTCAACACTGAATCACACAATGAAGCGACGACTTACAGAGAGACAGGCAATAATCAAAAGGCATTACTCTCAATTTAGTCCTTTAAAGGCAAACTTTTAACCCTAAATCTTATTTAACGATTATACCAGCGAAGTAAAACCAAAACTGAATTTCTATATTCATTAAAATTTATAAGCCCTAAAAGTTTCTCAAGTATTTATGTCGGCCGAGAATTCCTTTAATTTGGATTTATTTTTGGTTTTTGCTCGGTATGGGCGACGGCATTATAGAAAATTGAATCATTTCATTTCTATAAAATGGCTGTAAGAACTTGGAGAAAATTTAATCTTAAACTCTGCAGTGCGGATCGTTTTTTAAACCTGTACTCGTCCTTATTATCGAAGAATTTATTTCCAAAAATGGTTGATACTCCGTGTAAAGCTCTATTCTGCTTAGATTCCTTCCGAGCGCCAATCAGATTTTAGTAATTTTCTATTAACACCGTTACCCACTCACCTTTCCTGTTAATAAAATCTGGACGTCTATGTAATCCGCACATCCCTTATCCGCTTTGTCACTTCCTTAGATTAGGACAAGAAAAGCCAGTTGCGGCCATTCCGCGTGCCAACTCTACCGAAACCGGTAATATGCCTTATTATTTGCGATTTTATGGAAACGAAATTTCTTTTTGATAGTCGAATTTCGGTCGGCTGACTTGAATCTAACAGGGTCTTCCAGGACTGGCATTTCATTACTAATGCGGCCGTCTTTTCTGGTTTTAAGTACACAAAATAACGAAATGAACTATAATCATCTTACTCGCAAATATACTTTATAGTAAAATTGAAAGACTCCGAGTTAAAATAACAGTTAAGTGGATGGCTATTTGCGCAGTTAGGCAGCTGCTTTCGAAACTCCAGTTTGGCAAATAATAAAAAAAAACAGGCCAACGCTCATTTTTAGTACTTTCGGCCAACTCGAAATATTATAGTTGGGAACACAGAAATCGGGCAGAAATACAAATTAATTTTTGAAAATGAGAGCAAAAAATGTTTATGATTTTGATGTTATATTTTAAAATAAAATGTGGATTGTATGCTTCGTACAAAACTCGTAAAGTCGACAAAATAAAATACAAAAATGTGTTTTTTCTGCGATGTTATTTTTTAGTAAGTATCCGATCAATTCAATTTCTTCCTTGATAACTATATATTTAAGTCACTGCCAAAGTAAAAGTCTAAGGGATTTTTACTTGGAAATTTATACTTGGCCAGCGCAGAATCCTGAAAAATTTGAAAACTGTCGGATTTTTTTATTTCTGTTTATATGGAGCTGAAAGGTTCCGCTGTCTGTACTCAAAATATGAAGAATCTACGGCTTTCAGACTAAAGTGGGCAGTTTTTTATACGAGAGAATACACAGGTATGCAAAAAATGTACCTCGCGTGGAGATGAATACTTCTCTTCTCTGTGATCAAAATATAAAGAATCTATGTTATTCAGACTAAAATGGACAGATTTCTATACGAAATTATTCTAAGGATTACCGCGCTTAGTTTGCGGGTTTATACTTCAGCGACTCTGAAAACATCAGAAAGCGTCCGAATTTTACTGAAATTTCGCTCATGTAGAGCTCAATACTTCTATGCTCTCAAAATATAAAGAATCTACTGTTTTCAGTTTCTGAAGTTGGCAATTTTTGAAACTGACTATGCAGATGTCCACCGCGCTTATTTTGCAACTTTATGCTTGGAAAAATCAGATAGATAACTCTCGGATTTTACAGACGTTTCATTTACTACTGGAAAGCGGAAGCTGAATGCTTCTGGTTTCCGTACGCAAAATATGAAGAATGTACTGTTTTCAGACTGAAATGGGCAATTTGTCAAGCGCAAGTGTGTAAATAGTTCGTATTTTACAACTTCATACTGGGGGGAGCCTAAAAAATCAGGAAGTGCTCGGTTTTTCCTGAAGTTTGGCTTCCGTTGAGCTAAATACTTATACTTTCCGTACTCAAGATATAAAGATTCAAAGATTATGTTTCTTCTGGTCTGAAGTGAGCACTCAGCTTCGCTAACTACTCGCCCAGAATACCGAAAGGTTTTCAAAGTTCTCTATGAAAAGAAATCCATGAGGGTCAAGTGAGGGAATCGAACCCATATATGGATGTTGCAAAGGGAGGCGATAAATCTTGAACTTCACCACTTTTTTCGCATAACGCCCAAATGACAGTTTTCTCCGGAAAATTTATTTTCGTTCAACTGTGTTGAGTTGCGCTATTGAGTTGATGCCGCTCTGTGAGTTATAGCTCATCGCGCATCACTGAGCCGCACTTCGAATTGCGCTTGTAGCGGAATAATTCTTGAAATCAGAACGTTTAAAGGACATTCGTTGGTTTCTATAATCGCTCGGAAATTGAGCAACCGTTTCATTTCTAAGCGATTTCTTCTCGGTTTTTTTGTTTAGTTAATATTTCTAAAAACACAAAATTAATTCGGTTATTAATTTTAGTTTTAGGGTTGTTGCATCACTGCAGATGAATGAAATACAGACAAATATAAATGGCTCTAAATTTAAAGTTAAATTAGTGAGACTTTTTTTTTTAATTTGCCTTTGGAAATATTGCCGTGCGAACAAGCACTTTCTAGAAAAATGTGAACAATAAACAAACTGAAATCGAACTGCCAGGTACAGCATGAATCATCGAAAGGGCGAACAATTATATGATTAAATAATCATGTTTATTCTGTAGTTCGGTGTCTTTTTTGGCGAAAAGGTGTTTGAATATCAGTTTGCTACCGACAGAGGAGGAAATTGGTCGATGGTCTTTTGTGTCGGGTGAATCGCGTTCTTACATGGGAAATATAGAATCATTGTGGCACGACCTTATGGCAAGTGCGGTAGTTTGTGAGTGTGTAATGAGTAGGAAATGAGGATGGCGCCTCAGCTTGCAGAAAGCTGGTAAGAATGATCTCCAATCTAAAAATATTTTAGCTAGAATTGAGTTTAGTCTACCGACAAGCAACTGAAGTTTTACGGATTTTTTTATATTTCTCTCTCTTTGCTTGGCTAATTTCAAATAAGTGTGGCTTTGGACAGATTTCCTGCTGTATTAAACACATTTCTTCTTTCTTTCCAGGTCGCGCTACGCAGCTTTCGGTAAGCTTAGCATTACTTTGCCCCTGGTTTTAGGCTTTAAGTTTTCGTTAATCACTGCTTTTGCTGTTTGCTTTAAAAACTGTTCTATTATGAAAGTACTTATCTCATGTGTATGCTATCGTATAGCAGGAGAGCAGGAAATGGGCAAGGCAGATACGAACAAAATTATTGTAACTCTAGAATAAGCACAAAAGTGTATAAATCCTAAAGTTGTCCAAATAAAATTGAGATTGTGCCTTGAAAAGCCAGATTCGAACTATTTGATCTGCTTTACTCGCCGATTTCTTCGTCGACATCCAATGTAAAAATTCGTTACGCTTTTCAAATAAGACCCGGAAAATTGAGACATTTCCTCCATTGATTTCAGGATTTCGAGATGCATATTTCAATATCCTGTTGAAGCGTTTCGTCAATCTTGTTACCTCCAACGACAGAATATTTTATTTAAGATTCCGATACGGAAATGGCTTGTGTGTGTGTAAATATCAGTCGTGTTTGTCGAGTATTTTAGCTTGTTAACGAAAAGGGAATAAAGTAAGGCCGAATTCAGTTTATTCTAGCCAAGCAAAATGCACGGTCTTTACAAACTTCTATCTACACGGTCTTTACAAACTTAGCAAACATACTGCAACCTCCATTTTTTTTCAAGATGTGCTTTACAACATTGGCAAATTGTGGATTACATACATAAAATACTGTCGTTAAAAATGTAATTTATTTCAGGAGTAATAGCAATAAAATTGGACGTATTATATAAATATTTAGCTTTTGGCATCTACATCCAAAGGAAACGAAATTTTGATGTTTTTTTGTTTTCCGAAAATTACATTTTCTCAAATGGTCACCACTGAAAATTCAAAAATATCGATGAAACAAACGATAACTTAGGTATATTCAAGAACATTTCATTAATCTTTTAACAGCCCAACTGTGTCCCAAATTCCAAAAAACCCGAATCTGTTTCAAAAGCAATCGAAAAAACACATTTTCCGCCAAAATCTATACCGCAGCGAAATGCTCGACGTAATTAATTATTATTTGACTTGATTACTAGTTTGATAACATATTTTAATAATCGGTTTATGCAAAACAATCCATTACGTTCAATCAATTGGCCGTCCATCAAAAATAACCGCAACATGCACATTAATTCCCTGTTGTTTTTTCTCTGAAATAAACCGAATTTCAACCGAAATTGAACAAACATATCGATATGCATTTATATTGCAGTATTGTAAAATAGCCCCTTTTCAGCCGTAGACGCAAGTGGGAATGAGTCCCTAAATCCCAAACGCTCGATGAAAAATACACACGCTTTAATTAATTGATATAACTGGCCTGTCAATAGAGCTGTTTGGAAAGTTCTGATTATACGAGGCCCTTTTCGGTGAATAAAATTGCATGATTATTTTAGACAGCGGCATTATATTCAGGAAATTCATCAAAGCATGTTTATTAGCTCTTCAATTGCTTTCAAATTATTCACGGCAAAGAAATACGGAAATATAAAGGAGGTGGCCAAAATAATACCAACTAAATTCCATGTAATTATATTAAGTAAGTAATACTGTACATAGTACAAAAATTATAAATATTAAACTAGAATTAAAACTCACTAAATTAGCTAAATCCTAAAATTCCAGCTGGAGTAACACACAAACCTCAATTCTCACCTCAGTTTGTTCATTATGTAAGATTTAACCAGAACTTCTTGAACACGAAAAAGATGTGACAAACATCTAACCGACAGATTACGTAATGTTTGCTTTTTTCAGCAAAAGTAACTTTGAATGAAAACGGGTTGAATATGTGCAGCGAGACAATTAAAAACAAAAGTACACATTTCCTACTAATGATTTGAAAATTAAATACTAAAAAATGACAGTTAATTCTAAAATACTCCGAGTTCAATTGTTTGAAAAATTATCTCCTCTAAAACACACTGCTTACGTTTGATGTATGAGCGATATGTGGAAGAAATTTACATTTGAGAAACTATGAATATTATTGTATCATGGTATAAAATATACATTATCAATTTTTGAAATCGTATTAAATTCATTGTTCAGGAAAATCTGAATTCCAAAAAATATTCAAAATTGGGACGACAGAACTTGCTTACAATTTTTCAAAACGACGCGCTGTCAATTATTCACAGCATTATTATTGCAGGGAATGACTTTACGACATACAAAAAATCTTACAAAAGCCAGATTCTTCCTTCCAAATATTTGTAAAGTTTGCTGCATCAAATAATGGCCAATCAATTGATTCAGTAAACTATTTTGAATGTAAAAAAATATCTTAATCTTACCGACTCAATTACGCAATTAATTAAATGAGCGATGCCGTTAAAAATCGTCGTCTGAGTCTTCGACATACTTTTTCTGTGGTCTGTTTCTTCCTGTCCTAGATTTTACAGGTTGAACGGGTTCACTTGATTCGTCAATTTCAAAATCTTCGTCAGATGAACTTTGCATCTTCCTACCTCTCGCCTTCTTTGCGGCGCCTTGTTCTTTACCGTTGGTTTCTTTTTTTATTTTCTTTGCTAAAAACAAAAAATAATTGGTTCATTATTACGAACATTCAATTTAATTAAATTCACCTCTGGGCTTTTTGGGCTGATCATCAGCTTTCGATTTAACGACTTGTGGTGGACTATGATCTTCCTCAGATTCCGTGGACCATCTCCTTTTGGGAGCTGATGACGAAGAAACGTTTTCCTCTTTGGAATCTTCTTTTCGCGATCCTGATATCAAGCTATCGAATAGGTCTTCAGATGACTCCTGCATTCGTGGTGGAGGTTTTTCCACATCACTCTCATCACTTTCCAAAAGTTGCTGGAAAAAAATGTTATTGGCCAAATGAATGTAAAAAAAATTGGCGGAACTAAACTATTTAATTCTTTGAAAACATTGAATATATAAGTTTACTTACAGGTTGTATTTCGTCCCCATTTACTAAATTGTTGTCTAGTAGAACGTCGTTATCAGACATCTCATTCACTTCGTCGTCTGTGTCATATTTAATTGCCTAGAAAAAGACAAATTCATGTTTTAATTAACGCCCAATTTGAAGAGAGTGTTTTTCCAAGTGATAACATGCAATCTATTGAGCTTATCCACTTTTACTCACTTTTGTTGCGCATCTTCGGGCGTTTGTACGTTCCTTGAGTGGCGCAGTTTCTATGCTAATCGAGAAACTATCATCACTTTCATAGCTCTGACCATCAGAAGATAGGTCTGGGTTGAATCTTTTTTTTCTACCTCCTTTTTTAGGCGAACCGTTCACCGCTTCAAAAAGAGCGTACATGTGTACATGTTACATAATATAAGCAACGACAAACTGAAGATAAAATAGATTTAATACTTTCACACTTACCCTTCTTTTCAAAGTTTAGTTTTGTTTGTTTTAAGCCATCAGATGCCAGCCTTTTCTTTTTGACTTTTTTTTCAACTTCATCTGGTGTTCCTAATTTATCCTTTAACGTTTTCTTATTTTTGATCATTGCGTCAAACTCATCGTCCTACATATTCATTAAGCTTGTACCTTTTTTAAATCAATCAAAACGAGTTGTACACTTACCTCTTCTTCAGTAACTTCTTTTTTAATCATTCGTTTTCCCCTTCCTTCTTTACTCTTAGCAGCTGCCTGAACTTTCTTTTTGATATCAGTTGATATTAATGGTACTACTCTTTGACCAATAGGTGGAGACATAGGTACTTTTAAAGCGGCTTTCTTCTTTCCCTATAAGACACCGTATTTCATTCATTGCAAATTAGGTAATTCAAATTGCATAGCTATATTATCCCTTCTTACCTTTCCTTTGCCATAAATAAATTCCTTGCAGCATTAAAATAATTTATTAAATGTTTTGGCAAAAATAAAACTACAAACTTACCGGCTCAGCTTTTTCTTTTTTAACAGTGTTCAATTCATCTTTCCTTTCCTTTTCTTCAACCTCATCCAGTTTTTTTGCAAATATATCTAAATCTTCGCGCCATAAATCCGAAGGCTTCTTCTTCTTGAGAATGTCCAACTCAGTTAATTTATTATCTCGTTGCTTCAGTAGTTCGTTTTTCTTTTCCTCAGTCAACATCCACATGGACATTCCCAAAAGATAGTCAAATTTTTTCACCTCGGCGAGGTTTTTAAACGCTTTTTCTAAAAACCATCGACGTGTTTTAATGGGCAAATATATAAGGTCAAATATTGCTCTTACCAGGGTCAACCGGTTTCTTAGCTTTTGATGTGGTATCTGGCAGTTCTTCCTCGCCTTCGGGTGCAGCTTCTTCTTCCGCATCTTTTAAATGCATTTTTTTCCACTCCTGAACTGGATCAGGATCGTAACCCAACCGAATCAATTCATCAACGATTACCTTGCGTTTCTTGTTCTCAACAGTTAACGAACCTTAAAAAACATAATCAAAATAAAAGATGAGAGAAATTAAAATTAGAAAAAAAAGTAAATTAACTCAAAATAGTCTTATGTAAATTTTAGCTGTAGAAACCTTCATACCGTTACACTTTTCCATAATAAATCTTGCTTGGTTACTGAGTTTTTGAGCTTCGACAGTCAACATTCCTTCTAAATGGTCCTTTCGTTTCACGTACATTGACATTCTCAACGTGTAGAACTCTTTTAAAATGTCCATTACGGTGTCGAATCTTGAAAGAGGAAGAAATATGTGTTAATTGTTGTCAAAATTAAAACAATTATTTTCTGTAAACTATAAACTGTAAATATGTACCGTCTCAGACATCCTAACTCATCAAAACAACACATGGAGCCGAGACTAATTAAACTTTGCAGCTTAAAAACTGTGTGGAGACCTTCTTTTTCCATGAGTTCCATCTGGCTGGGACTAGGAGTCACTACAAAATGAACCGTGGTATCCGTACTGTATTCTTTAAAATCCTGAAACACAATTTTTTCTTTAGATACGAAAGAGTACGAATACAGGAAACTACTGCACCTGAATGGACCATTTGCATTTATCCTTAACTTTATCTTTTGCTTTATCCTTATCCTTATCTTTTTCCTTAGCTTTATCATTTTTAACCTTGTCAGACCCTTGCATTGCTTCTAAGACATTTTCTTTATAAGTCTGAGTCCATGTGCCCACAGGGAGTTCGGTAATTTCTAGTGTATTGCCCATTATGGCTAATTCGCCACTGATGCAGTAACGCTTATCACCGCAAAACTCGACTGTACCTTTGAAATTTTTGTACCTAAATAATAATGTTATATAAAATACAATAATCGACAATGCAGTAGATCTGAGACTAGAATAAACTTTGCATTATCTAATGTTAAACTGACCATGGATGCAATTCTTTAGGTTCTTCTCCATCTAGCATAGATCGTATGCACTCAACTAAGTCACGCGGATTGTAATTAGGGATTTTTGTCATCCAACCGGTTCCAATCCCATCGGCTCCGTTAACGAGTACCATGGGAATAATGGGAATGTACCAAACTGGCTCTATTTTTTGGCTATCATCATACTCATGTTTTAAGAGAGGATCATCGTCGGGATGGAAGAGCAATCGCGTCAACGGCGATAATTTCGTGAATATATACCTGCATGTCAGAGTTAAAATGAGTGCACATGAAATTAGAACAAGAAATATTTTACCTGGGACTGGCTGAGTCTTTTCCTCCAGCCAATCTGGTACCGAACTGCCCTCTCGGTTCGAGCAAATTGATGTTGTTGCTTCCCACATAATTTTGAGCTAGATTTACGATAGTCATGGCAAGAGACACTTCACCGTGATGATATGCTGAAGTTTCGGCTACTGAACCGGCTAATTGTGCCACTTTTACTTCGCGTTTATCATTACGCTTCAAACATGTGTAAAGTACCTGAAATAATTGATAATTTGTAAATCCAAAATGACCAAACATCAGAATGAATTAGTAGATCCGGGGCCCACGAAAACTTACGGGCCACAGAGACTCAAGAGCTTCAGCTTAAGCACAGAGGTTCAAGCTTGCCATTTAGTTTACTGCATGCTGTTATGTTTATTATTAATTCAGGTGATTGATTGTGTAAAGTCAGTACATACATATACATATATCATATTTCAAATATTTACTTAAGCGTAGCAAATTTTAATTTGTTGCTACATCAAAAACCATGCCATATCGATGTTCTGTGCCTGGGTGGAAATCAAGCTATACCATGAAAATAATGGGAAATACTACATTATCCTATTTCTTTCGTGATAATCAATTAAAGCAGCAATGGCTTGGAAATATTCACACAGAAAACTTTATGCTAGCAAAATTTTCTGTAGTTTGTATCAAACAATTTGAACTAAGTTTTATAATACGGTTCTCAATTGGTAGCAAGAAATCGACTTATTGCAAATGCTCTACAATCGCTATTTCCAAATCAGCCCAAATTAAACGACAACAACAACAAACAAATTAAACGAATAACGATTAATAGAACAAAAGCACCGAAAAACAAAAATACAAAAACTGGATGCGGACGATAACATTGAGAGTTTTAATAATTTTAAGGTTGATTTGGAACTATTAAGTATTTTATGAACAAAATTCCTCAAAGTTTGGACACTTTCATGTCAATGATTTTTTGGTCTCGTGTACAGAAGATACTTTTGTAATAAATTGTATAAATGTGTAAAGTGTGGTTGGCTCCGGTATATTCCAACATTTCAAAATTAAATTGTATTTTTTACTTACTTTTCTTTGACCAGGCTTCAAACCATCTACTAAGCTGGGAATTGATCTGATATTATCAGCATTAGAAAACAATACTAATTCCAGATTAACAAAGTCCTTGTAATTAACGAATCTAGTGTCTTTTGCGTAAAGATACTTTTCCGGAAGCCCCATTTCTTTTCGATGTTTGCTGCAATACATACACATTAATGACAAATCACTATCGAGCATATATCGACATATTGTCTAGTACCTGTCCACCATGAAATTAGTGAGCCACTCTTTCCTGGCCTCGATGTGTTTTTTACTAAAAGCCAGTACGATGTGATCGTCGTCTTCAGGACCGCCATACCGGAATGGAATCTTATGCCGTGTCATGTTGCCGAAATATTCTTTAGCCTCCTTCGAAGTGGAGGTACCCAAACCTAGAAAAACGCTATTATTAGTTAGGCCTTTGCCGAAAACGTCGAATATAATACCTTTGTAGTATTTGATTTCAAAAGTATGATGGTTTGCGGTATCTTTCTTCCATTCCTCAAACTCCGGCAATGAATAGAACGAAATTTCTTGATTCTTTTTCTTAGCCTTTACAATAGGAGTGATAAACTCCTCTAGAAAATCTAGGCGTAATAGTTCAGGCCAATTGTAATGAATGAAATTAATCAGCAATCCTTTGATGTGCGAGCCATCCTGATCTTGATCAGTCATGATCATTATTTTTCCGTAACGCAACGACTTCAGGTCGTCTCGGGTTAAGTATTTCTTTTTGTACTGTAGACCTACAATGCACATTGTTTGTTGTTTTCGAAGAATGAACATTTAAGAATTAATTGAATTGTTGAAACCACTCACCGATAATTGACAATAAACTGTTAATTTCAACATTTTCTAGAATCTGCTTGTGCGTGGCTTCTCTGACGTTTAGAAGTTTACCCCTTAAAGGAAACACGCCGTAATAATCCCTTCCAATAACACTCAACCCGGAAACAGCCAACGTTTTGGCCGAATCTCCTTCAGTCAATATGAGAGTACATTTCCAGCCAGTCGCAGAGCCTGCCTTATTGGCTTCGACCAACTTGTGAATTTTTAACTTCCCAGCACTTTTACCAGTGCTGGCTTTGACCAGCTCAGTTTGCTCCTTAAGTTTGGCCCAAGTTAACACGGTTTCTATTATACCGCTTTTTTGAACGCCCAGTATAAATTTGTCAGATATGGAGCACTTGGATCCAAACTTCTTCACTTGTAATGTCATGTTCTCTTTCGTTTGAGAGTCGAAAGTGGGATTTACGATGAGGCAGTTGATGAAAACCCACATATGATTTTTCACTTGGTGAGGTTTAATTGTGGTCCCACCTATAAAAGAACATGATTTATATTTGCTGCAATTGAATATTTTAATTATACTAGCCTTTATTCTTCTTCTTTATTATATCTAAAAGTTGTTTCGCGATCATCTCTACGATATATTCTACATGCCGACCGCCTTTAGTTGTGGCGATGCTGTTGACAAAGGACATCTGTTGAAAACCTGAGTCTGATAGTGTTACCGCAACTTCCCATCTTGATGAAAAAATTATACGAAATTAGTAAAAACCATTTCACTTCAAAAACACATTCTTACCGTTCATCGAACTCTTCATAAACAACCTTTAGGGGATTACCTCTTTCATCATACTCCCCTTTAAAATACAATTGGACATAATCTCTGAAATTTTTTATCGGCAGTCTTTGGCCATTCAGAAACACCTTGACTCCTTTAGTAGAAGCTGCTACATCAAACGCTCTTCGCGACATTAAACCTGCAATGTCAAAAATGTAAGATGTGGCTGAAGTAAATTCGCGACTCTTGCTTCCTCTGCTAATTGCAATCTTTCTGACTCACCTACAATATCATCGGTCAATTTATCCATGTGAAATTTAGCCAAGTCTGGATAGAAGGTGATTTTTGTAAAGTCGGCACCAAAAAAGTCCTTAATTTTTGGCTCTGAGGCCTTGGTCATATTACTGCCCCATGTTTGCTTAAAATGTCGCTTGTGTTCTTTAGATGCTGTCTCCACAATAAACTTCTCACTGTATATGTTGCATAGTTTAGCACCGTAGCCATTTCTTCCTCCCGTGACTTTTTCTTCTTCGTCATTGTAGTTTGAAGAAGTAAGTAAATGTCCAAAGATCATAGTGGGAACATACATTTTTTCATCTTCATGCATGACAACAGGAATACCTATTATAGAAATCAATAGTAAATTTCGAATGTAGGCATTGAGGGACTAAACTTGCCTTTGCCGTTATTCCATACAGAAACCATATTTTCCTCTGGTTTGATCTCAATCTTTATGCAATCCATCGACTGGTCTCTTTGCTTATTATCGGCAGCATTAACTAGGATTTCATCGAAAATTTTATACAATCCTGGCACAAAATCAATTATTTTTTGTACCATCATTTCGCGATCGGTATCATAGATCCACATGGGTTCGGTAGCCTAAAAACAGATACAAATATTTTGTCCAACTATTAAACCAATTTCATTGCAAATTTACCGTTTCAACCGATCCAATGTATGTATCAGGTCTTAACAATATGTGTTCCAGTTGAGACTTCTTTTGGTAAGTCTGTTCAATTGTGGCTGGCTTTTTCTTGGGCGGCGCCACTTTATTATCTCCCGCACCGTTGGTATTGCCATTGGACATGTTTGTCAACATTTTCTGGAAACAAACACTACTTGTAAAGCACCGTAATTATATTGATAAAAATCCTTTTTAAAATCCAAAAACGCAATAGTAGCCCTTAGAATAGGTTATAGTTTTACACTTTGTCGATTCAATATTATGTGTAATAAAATATGATTTTATGGCTCACTACGTTGATCAGTTTGAAGTGAAGTATATATTCAAAAAGTGGTAAAAAACTCGATGAAATAACTATTTCATATAAAATTCAACTAATGAAAGGAAAACATCAATAAAAAAGTGGGCAATTTACACATTCTAAAGTTAAAATGAATTATTAAACCAAGCTTCAGGGTTAATCCGAATAATGATTCCATTACAGATATCAACAGAAAAGCAATCATTTCTTTTCCTGGCCGGAGTAAATTTTATAAGCAGTCACCAAAGGAATTAAATAAATAAATAATTTACACAAAGTTGCATACAAGACATTATCATGAATGAGATGTGGATACACTTCGTGGACTCGGAGCCAAATAGAGAAGTTAGTTGAATGGAAACCACACGATAATTTTTCGTCGCAAAAAGCGTTTTAGTTAAACATGGAACCTGTTTCGTTTTTTACAGGCTGGTCGCAAAAAACACACTTTTACACAACAACATTTTTAAGATATCCGGTTGATATTTATGCCTCTGGTGTTCAAATAGAAAATTCGACTTTCTTATACTTCTCTGTATAAACTTCACCTGAAGCACTAAATTTTTGTGAAAACACACACTGACAGAAAAACAACTGGACTGCTTCAGATTGCAGGAATTGGAAATTATCCAGTTCCAAAATTAGGGCCAATCTGGCGGAGCAACCTTTATTTCATTAAGTAGTTTACTTCGATTCTCAAGTAATTTAATCGTAAAACCTAGTGGTTTTTGTATACTTTGAACAAAAGTTCAATTTTTTCTCTTTTTGGATAGTCAGCCTGTTCCTGATATCCGAGTGTGCACAAGCCGTATTAGTTTTGTATTAATTTAAAAAAGCGAGATCTTGGTTATTTCAAATAAAAATATCAACTATTTTTTACCCAGTACAGATACATCGTCTTTAGATTGCTGATATTAGGAATATCATTCAGGAAAAGAGTCCGATTATTTAAAAGAAAAATTATTGGAAAAAAATGTCCCGAACATTTAATAAACAAATGTGTATCAGAAGACAACAGCTTCCAGCGAATAGATGATTGATTGGGCATTATTTGCAATCAGTTGGGCATATTTTTCTAATAAGGGTCAAGCTATGAGTGTTGTATCAAAAACACAGAACTAATGCAGTCAGAATAAGTAATTTGGATGGATTTGGCATAAATATCATTAATTTTTTGGAAGGTTCTTTCCAAATAATGCAATTCCAGTAAGTGTATAAAACAGTGAGAATATTCAGACTGGGTGCACAGTGGAGAGCACCGCAGGGATTCGGATGTCGTTCTTCAAATATAGAAGAACTTTAATATTATGAGCAGGCCAAGGAAATTACTGAAGCATTCGATGCCCGGTATTGACATAAGGTACCCAAATTGCTTGTGCCAATGCTCTGATTCCTCTTGGAGGGAGAACAGTCCATGTTTCTAGTGAAGCATACCTGCCTCTGATTGACTCAAAGAGCTGGAAACATGAATGGAACATCTAGCTGGATGCGGAAGATCAAGATACCATTAGGTACCCCCAAACAAACCAAACCAACTAGAAATTCTAGGTTATGTTTGCTTAGATGATAAAGCCCTATGTGAATAGAATATAGAAGTGTTTAACTGAGTGCAGAGGGGCAAAACATAACTAGACATGCAAAAATTATTACATACCTGTAAACAAAACAACTGGTTTTTAAAACGATCACAAATCCTACTGGCCCTGTTGGACAGAATCATTTAAACAATTTACAAATTTTACGTGAACACATTCAGATAAAAAAACCGTTTTCGAAAGATAAGAGCCAAGATGTTCCTTTGCAAAACGTACCTTAATATCCGCCATTTTTTGTCTTCTGGATCTCAGAAAGTCATAGAATCTTTCAGACGGGCTATTTATAAGTGAAGCTTAAGGTATAAGCGACCACACATTCACATTCACAATAATAATAACAATGGTTTCCTTATTTAAATGCGGATGAAACAAAATCTGCAAAACTACACGAAGACAAACGATGCTTTTCTTCACATAACCGTCAATCTTCACAGTCCTCCCTCTACTCCTGTCACCCCTTATCGAGCTATCGGTTGGCAACGTTTGAAACGCAGGCACAAAATTTAAATGCACCAATCAGGATGTTGCATACAACGTCTTTGTTTAATAGAGGCATTTAATAAAACGTTTTATTCCCTTAATAAAGGTTTCAAAAAATCATAGTCATCAGCAATAACCAATAATAAATAATTAATCGACTTTTGACGATTTTTCATTAATAGTTATAAGGCAATATAAGCCATAATTAAGTGAGAAAATTAAACCTAATTTTTTAAGCGTTTCAAAATGCGGTCTAATTTAATATGTATTTTCTGGTTAAATGTTGCGTAAAAACAGTAAAATTTAATTTGTAAATAGGTCGGTTTCCATAGTTGCCAAATGACTTAAATACAAATTCTCGTGCGGACATTTTTAGTTTGATTCTCAAAGTTGTTTTGATTGTCAGTTGCAAGATTTGAAAATCGAATTCTTTTCAACTAAAAATGCCTCAACTGTTAAGAACAGGTAAGTTTACCGCAGATACAAGTAATAATCCCTTGTCTCTGGTTTAGCGTTTCAACATACACAGATTATTTGAACCATAGATAAAGACAAGATTTGGAAGAACCGAATGAATATGCGTCGTCTATTTACATTTGGCCCCTGTTTCCCATTTGGCCCCCAAATTCCACCCGTAACACTGACCGAACTGAAAATACAAATATCCTCCCTAAAAGCCCGCAAACGTCCTGGACCAGACTAAATTTCAAACAAAATCCGAAAACATCTTCCAGAAAGTCTCCTAAACCAACTCCTTACTTTAATAAACGCCTCTTTCTCCCTCAGATAATTCCTTACATCCTGGAAAACCGCCTCTATCATACTAATCCCCAAACCCACTAAAAACAAAACTCCCCCAAAACTGGAGACCTATCAGCCTCCTCTCTACTCTCTCAAAACTCACCGAACGATTCTTTCCTGAACCCCTCAATGATCTACTCTCTCAAAACCAAGGGAGCAGTTCGGTTTCATGTAAAAACAGCATGCCGTGCGTTAATTTAAGATAGCACGATCGCTCTCCAGGGAAAGGGCTCCACTGGAATCATTTTCCTGGACATAGAAACATCCTACCTAACCTTCGTTCAGTTTGTGGCAAACTTTCTCCACGAGAGAAAGTTTTTCATAACTGAACGAAACGAAATCCTCCACCCGATCCATAAAAGCAGGAGTACAACAGGGCACCCCTCTTTCCCCAACTCCTTACAACCTATACACATTTGATGTTCCAAAAAGCCCCTATTCCAAAGTTGCTCTTTTCGCTGGTGACCATCTATAGATACGGCTTGAAATAAAAAGCATTGTTTAACAAATACATTCATATTTATTTTTAATATACAATACCAAGAGAATCAATTCATTCACATACTCCATTTTCTATTAGAATATATTTATATTATAAAACAATTCCGGTACTATATTTACAGTATTTGTACTTTTGAGCAAAATACCTTTCTAGCATAGATTCATTTAAAGTTGTTTTTCATCTGATTATTCGAATTGTTGGTACGAATGTATCTATGCTATTATCTATTGAGTTATCGTAAATGAAAATCTATTGTACATTTGTGGTTGAGCATTTAGTAATTGCTTAAGTTAATGGCATTTAATTGAGGTTGCTTGTAATTTGCAGCAAAGTTGCTCATGTACACTGATACTGAGGATGAACAACTTTGTTATTAACGTGAAAAAACTATCAAGATAAGAGCCAGTATTTGAAAAAATTGAAATGATTCTCTTTTTTTGTTAAGGATGCTGGACGCAATACGTTTTTCGATTTAAACATATGTGTAGGTATGTCTAACTTCAGAAAGGATGTCAGTAATTATATCGATTTAAAGATTGTCTTTGAACAAAAAGTTCCAGGCAAATTTTAAGGTCTTATTATTTTAGTTAAGTGAAACGTGGAAAATTTTTAAAATGCATGTTTGTGTGCGTCATTGATTGTCTTGAAATTTGCCTGGATATAAGACAAGAATTTAAGGAAGTCAACTGAAATATTTAACCCTGTTTATTTATATAATATCCCAGTCCTATTCTAATTTGTTCACTGCTTGCTATTTTAAAGTGTTTGTGGCAACAAAGTGGAGAAAAGTTGTATTTGAATAGTTTGTTTGAAGCTGACTAATGTTTTATAAAAAACACCGATGGAAAATATCGTATTAAATACTATTTGGGGGTATTAGCTCTACGTCTGTTTTCCAAATTTCAACAATCTTGTATTTGTTGCTAATAACAATAATGAATATAACAAATCCCGTACAGGACTTATCCAATAAAAGTAATAAACATTATTTTCTACGCCAAAAGTCTAACAATCTTTAATCAATTTTAACAAAAATTAAACTTAATTAACAGTAGGAAATTTCGTTCGTTATTTATCACTTTAGAAAATTTTGCTATCCGTGACTAGAATTTTGCACATATCCCACATTTGCCCTAAAAAAATAATTTCAATGCTGTCGCCGTTTTAGATTACAATATACTTCAAATACAAAATTGCGTACTTATTAACATTTTAAAGGATATTTATTTTTGTACAGAATTATACCTAAACACTAATGTTTTGTAATTTTGAAATCGCTTTACATTCACTTGGACTATTCCTTTAAAAACCAACAGGAAATAAACGAAATTATATTTGGAAAAACTATGGCACTTATTAAAATATTGTTTCTAAAAGATTTTTGGGGAGATTAAATTTACATGTAAAAAGTCATTTACAATGAAAAACGAGAGCGAAGGGGTGATATCTAACATTAATCTTCTGGACGATAATTTACATGGGGATTTTAATCAATTTTTAAAGCACAAATCTTAAGAACTATGCAATATATTTGCATACGAGAGTACAAATTTGGTCAAAAATATCCTGCAACCTTATTATAATTATGACTTTCGTTGTGATTATGAGTAAAACAATTTTCGTTTCAACTGCCTCGAAAAACTTGAGCAGGATATTTTTTCCAAAACAATATTAAGTGGTGCGCATGAACATTTTATAATAATTGATTAAAAATGCAGCGATAGCTTGCTTTTTACACGAATGATATTAAATAATTTTTCATTGTAAAATTTTATTGATCCGTGCTGCAAGGCACTGTTGTTGACTCAGATTTTTCATGTAAATCGGCTGGTTTTTGCGGTACTTTGTAAACTTGCATGGAATTTGTTTGCTATGTTTTAAGCCTGCGAATCATTGTGGTTTAAAGTTACGCGAATTTTTGCATATTTAGACGATTTTGCCTCATTATATTACTACACATGCCACTAGACATGATACATATATAAATTTACGGATTTCTTGCTTTTTTACGTTCACCGTTAAGTAAAATTTTGGAGTTTTATAAATAATAAAGTAATACAGAACGAAAATTTCGTAATAGTCAATGGCAAATTGCAGCTTCCATTACTTATAATATATAATAATATATTGTGAATAATATTTGTGAAGTGTAGTTAAATGTTTTGTTGGCTTTTAAATGGTCAGGTTACTTTTCTTTATCTTGAACAAGATGAAAATTTGCATTTAAAAGCCAATTTCGATATGTTTTTCAGTGCCTTTACACAACTGAAAACTGCACATACCATTGTTTCTTACGTGGTGCATTTTAGAAAAAATCGTGAGGAACATTTTTTAGGCAACATGTTTTGTTGTTTTTGCAACCATTTTTTCAACAACAGTACCTTAAGGAGTTTTAGTGGTTCAAAAAACTGTTTAGCGACAGTTTGAGGAAGTGCAATAAGTGTTTTTGAACTACCATTACGTGCTTTAGAACAAACTGTTTATAAAAATGCAATAAAGGCGAAAACAAACCTTATCAATAACCAAGAACGATAAAACACTTAGACCCTTTTAACTGGGATATATCACGCATTAAAAACTTCCATTATATCATCGATTCACGAAATGTCTAAGTAAAACTTAACCGTAACACACTTTGAGTAAAAAAAAACCATTAGATAAAAATTATTAACTATTTACAAGAGAACTGTTCTTAGAACTAACGATAAAAGCTATCACGATTTTAAGTCTTGTAGCACGAACATTTTTGTCTGATCGAAAAGTCGAATTAACATTTAAATTCACTGTCGTTATTGAAACGATGATAAACGGGAGCTGATACATTGAAATTGCAGACTTTTTGACCAGATTCAAAAATCAAAACCGTTGTCTTGTTTCTGTTACCTGTCTAAAAGTAATCGTATACAAAAAATCTATGATAAACAAAGTCAATACACATTACCAAAATGTGATTATTGGTCTCTATACTAATATAATTTTAATTGTAATTTTTGACGGGACCTAAAGTGGATTTAAATATTTACAATTTCTCGAGAGGAGGAGGAAAGTTCAAAACCGATTTTTAAAATGCGAAAACTGTGTTTGCAGTTTCCTCCCGCACTAGATTTTAATTTTTGCTTTTTTAAAGCATCAGTAATAACACAGAATATAGCCACAATTGGTTGCAATGGTGACTACTTCGTGATGCGCCAAATATTCATCAAATGTCGTTTTTTTTGAAAATCCAAAACGCTTTTGTAAAAATTAGACAAATTAACAATAACTTTAACAGTCCAGTAACAAAAAACCTTATATTTATTTCATGTATAGTTTAAATCTATTGCAGTGTACATGGTAAAAAGTGAGTTCCAACACCGGGATTTTGGGGTCAGAGGCGGAAAATGTCCTGAAATTAATATTTCAGGTATGGTTGCTATAAGCCTGTAACTGAAAATTGATCTTACGAGACACTATCAAAAGCACTGCATTTATTGGTGCGTCTATTTCTGCAATTTTGCCTAGATTTTCTATTTGATAACGCCCCGTAAAATATGTTGCTATAAAACTATATTTTGATTATTAAGTACTTGTCTATGTTACTATACATATATGTAATAGTTATCACTGTAGTTGAGGCACTGTAGAAAACTGAAAAGTGTTTGTTAAATCACTCACTGAAAAAACACTGGTTTTGAGATTTCCGCGTCTTACCCCAAATTGTAATAAAGTATATCTTATAGGTGTATAAACCCTGTATAAAAAAGCTAAACTTTATAACTTATACAAGTTTTGTATATATAGAATATATATGTATAAAAACGGCAAGTATAGAGTTGAGTTTGTCGGTACCATCACCATTTTTTTAATCTGATTTACGTATAGGTATTGTAAAAAAATTATCAACTATTTTGCATTTTCAATGACCTTTCCAGTCGGACGAATCGCATTGTTCAACGCGAAAGGCCGTTAAAGTTAAAGACACAGTGTAGAAGTAAATTGTGTACTATTGTTTAACTTATTATAAAAATAGTTTTGTTTCTATTGCACTCGGGACAACTTTTAAAAATACTTTTTAATTACTCTATTTTAAGGGAATTAACGTAGCTATATGAGGTCTAAATATACATAAATAATTCTAGTCAAAAGTTTTATTAATTGAATGATATTCATTCTAATTAAATGAAGTTGTTAGTGTCCGTAATGTCAAACGAATGGGTTTTTATGGGGCTTAAACGGACAGATAATATTTGGAATCAGAAAAAATTGATGTCGAAAGCAGTAACATTCTAATGTTTCTTGATGCTTTTCGGTTTTTCCCGTCATATGAATATTTAGGCGCAGAATCCTTTAATTGGGACAAATTAATTTAAAGAACAAATAGGTAAGGTTAAAATGGAGAATAAACTGCTTCGAGCCCTAGGAGGAACACAAATAAAATCTTGCAAACGAAATGGAAAATTGAAGCTAACAAACAGAAAATTTAGCCAAAGTGTAAAAAGAAAATATTATTAAAGATATAACGTTGTTAAATACGATTTTGCTCTTGTAAAATTAAGGCAAGCAGCAAGCAAATGTCCCACCTGCTTTGAAACAACACCAAATTCTGGGGATTAATGTAGTCTTTTTGAAAATTATATTATTAGTTATTTCAAAACTATATTTGAATTTTAGTTTCTGGAATTATCATTCCTTTTTTAAATATGTTAACTAAATTTGGGATCGATGCTTTTGAACTTTAATCCTCGATTTAATATTCATACAATTTTGCAAGGTAAAGAAAAATATGTCTTAGTTAAGAAAAAAATAATCAGCACTACTCTATGGAAGCAATTTTAACCGCAAATTACTTCGTCTCGTTCGTTATTTTTGATATTATTGCCAAGAAAATATTTTCATCTAGTTATTGTCGCAAAATTTGCTTAAATTGGCCAATTTGCCAGTACAACTACTGATATTATTGCACAAAAAAGAAACAGAATATAAAATTTGTTAAAATAATGAGTTTTATAAGCAGATTTTGGAGCTACGTTGTCTGAGGCACCGCCAAACTTTTAAAAGTTGTCCCTCTCTAACATTCAATCTGTAGGTACTATTTTATAACTCTGTAAAAATATGGAAGTTTTAAACCACAGTTACTTGGCATTTTGTTTGTTTAAGTTAGAACCCGTCAAACAGTTCTACCTTATTAGTTTCTCTTAATATTTACTTTTTTACATTTAAGAGAGATCACATATCGTAACCCTAACACTACAACAATATAATCAGTAATAATAATGTAATAATTATAATTATAATAATGTGGGTAGGCGATGGGAATGGTGTTTTAAAATTCTCATTTTCGATTGAAATACGATAATTTGAATTCACCCTTAGGTATTGGTTTAATGGCTCAATGAAATTTGAGCTGAAAAGTTCTGAAAGGTGAGAAAATATTGTTTGCAGAATTATTTATGTTTTAATCGAAATGCGGCAAACCAATTTTGATTGACTGAAATTTTCTTAAGATAGATTTTAAACGCCCGAGCTTGAACCACATTTTAATGTCAGCACCATTTGTTTCACCTAGAGGAAATATCCACACATGAAGAATTTCCACAAAAAAACCTACTAAAGAAAAAATAAATACAACTTATACTTACATTGCTAAATAACTGAAAAGTCCTTTGAGTATTAGTGACCGTTAATGAAACAGCTGGCAACTGGGCTAGTTGAATTTCTGTTTGGCTGTTCGAACGAGTCAAGAATGGCCATAATCTGAATATTTTTGAGTTAACTAATAACAGTCACACGATGTAACGTAACGACTATTGTCTAGTTTCGTTTTATCACAATTAAGCATAGCATGGTATTCACACTCGAACTCACCCATCTGAGGAAAGCAAACGATAACTTGCCAAACAAATGGCGATTATTGCAGTAATTTTCCCAAAAATCACAAAACAAATTTTTAAAAATAAGCACAGCCATGTTAATTTCCACAATTGGTTTGAAAATCCCGGTTTCGGATTTGCTCCAAAATTGACTCATTCATAACACAGAGGGACTCTAGTTGACCCCTCCTAACCGATACATGGAGGCCCCAGTTGCCAGCCAGCTGTTAGTCACTGGGGAGGAAGCCCATTGGTCGGCTTGAACTCTGGATTGACGGCTGCTTGGAACTGCGCCACACTCGTTGGCGGATTGAAACTCGGATAACATTGGGGGAAATACAGCTCCGGCTTTACCACACTTGTGGGAGTCAGACCTCGAGGCAACATGCCTGCAAATAAATACCGGAAATATTGAGCCAATGAATGGGTCAAAATAAAAAAAACGCAATTCAGCAACTTGATAAAAAAAGCAAAATCCGGCTAGGGCAAAAACAATTTCTACATATCCACTAATAATAATAAAAGTACATAATTCGATTTGAAACTCGCAAATTTGGATAATGGGATTTTTAGAGACACTCTTTTCAGATGAAATAACAGCGGCATTATGCGACTTTCGGTTATACCGGAAGTTGTTTCAAACTTCCTTATTTTAAATGAAACACCCTGTATAATGGTTTTGCTTGTGTTCCTTTCTTTATTTTCAATAACTTTAATGAAAAGTTTTTCTACCCTACTCTAGTCGTTTCTGGGCAAAATATAGTTTTTCATATGCATATTTGTGACCCTTTTCCGTCGAAAGAAATAGATTGGACTCAAAAAACCCACATGTAAAATTTTGGTTTTTGGCCGAAATTTTTCCAAGGGTCTAGGTCGATTTTTTGAAAAAAATGAAAATTTCCCCAAAATGTCTTAAATGTTACATCATTTTCAGCTCACGGATGCGATGAATGCATCGAACTCTTTGAAGAACATGCTAGAAGTTTCAGATCTGAAATAATAGACATTTTTGGCACATTTTAAGCGGTTTTTGAGTTTTCTTCCTTATTATTCACCCAAAAACTAAAAAAATGCATATTTGTGACCCTTTTGCGTCGAAAGGAATAGATTGGGCTCAAAAACCCACATGTAAAATTTTGATTTTGGTCGAAATTTTTCCAAGGATGGAGGTCGATTTTTTGAAAAAAATTAAAATTTCGCCAAAATGTCTTAAATTTTACATCATTTTCAGCTCACGGACGCGATGAATGCATCGAACTCTTTGAAAAACATGCTAGAAGTTTCAGATCCGAAATAATAGACATTTTCGGCACATTTTAAGCGGTTTTTGAGGGATCACGACCGTTAGCCGACGATTTCTTCCTTATTATTGACCCAAAAACTTAAAAAATTCATATTTGTGACCCTTTTGCGTCGAAAGGAATCGATTGGGCTCAAAAAACACACATGTAAAATTTTGATTTTGGTCGAAATTTTTCCATTTTTTGAATTTTTCCGTCTTTCGATTTTTTGAAAAAAAATAAAATTTTTCCAAAATATCTTAAATTTTACATCATATTTCCACCTGAGGCCAGTATTAAGAGAAATGCGTGAATAATTCTTAGTAAAAAAATGCCATCTAACTCATATAAATTTTTCATCACAAATCCTTCAGAAAACTTTCAGAACGGATTTGGAGAAAAAACAATCAAAAACCTTTGAAAAATGTCTATTTGACAGGTGTAGTTTTTCGAAAAAATAACGAAAATATGCAGAAATTTAAAAAACGGTCCAAAATAAAAAAGATTTCAATCACTAGAAAACACCGACAAAAAGTCAAAAACTGAATGATTTGGCAAGTTCTCGCAATATTGCCAATGTCTCCCAGAATTCCACTTATTTTGTTTTATTTTATTTTATATAAATTCCACAAACTTAAGCAAGTTCCACCCAATCAGCAACTATCATCTTATTCAAAGTAATGAAGTTTTTACAGTTTTTTTGCTTTATTAGAGAATAAAGATATTATCTAGCATAATAACATCTAATTTTGATAATAAAAAACTAAATTTTGCTCAGAACCGACTAGAGTAGGGTAGAAAAACTTTTCATAAAAGTTATTGGAAATAAAGAAAGGAACACAAGCAAAAACATTATACAGAGTGTTCCACTTAAAATAAGGAAGTTTGAAACGACTTCCGGTATAACCGGAATTCGCATTATATCGCTGTTATTTCATCAGAACAGACGGTCTTCGAAAATACCATTTTCCAAATTTGCAGGATTTAAATCCCATTACTTCCCGAAATATTCTAATGGACGCTGACCGTGAACCATCCTGTATAGCGCAAGCAAAATATACTCGTTTTTCTGATCGTTACTTCTACCACAGAGACGAAAAGACGCGAGGTGCGTCATACAATAACAGGTTATGCAGAAGGAAAAATACCGCACTGCCCGATTGTAGTTTCCTTATAATCATTATTATACTGAAAGACTTGTCCAAGTCGAAGTAGAAAATATATTGGTATGCAATACAAGAAGAACCTCGACTCAACTGCTCCTTAAGGACCTCGCATTGATAATTGTACTTACACCTAATTCTCTTTTTACACCACTTGTTTTGATTTAACACGATTTTCAATGTTTTATCAGTTTTTCGCAAATCTTATAGAACAGATAAAGCGATATTTTTCGACGCGTGCACGCGTTTAAATTAGTCTCAGAAAAAAAGCTTCTGAGACTCGAAGATTTTGCTTTCGCCGTCTAGCCAGCTGTTGGCTGATTTTCTAATGGTACCTCCATACCTATCCAGCCGAGCGTGAGCCGCGAAAAATTCCTTTGAAGTTTCATCAAAACACCGGCAGAAAAAGGATTATTTATTAAAGCATCCCAAATTGCAGCGTATACAGGTTGATTTGCAAACTGGAACATTTCCTTACCATTTGCATGCAGTTTGCTCTCAGAACTGGTCGAATCTCGGCGCGTCTTTGCGGCATGTGGATTCATATGGTTGTCTATATGCTTCTTAACTTCCGGTTCGGTTGCAAATCTTCGCCTACAATTGGGCATGGGACAACAGAACGGTCTGTCGCCCTGATGCGTCCTGGTGTGTTGGTCCAAAATGGCTTTTTGCCTAAACACAAAAGCAAAAATTACGGGGCTTCATTGAGATACACATTAGTACACTGTTAGACCCTTTTGAGCCCAAACAACCGAACATTTTAAGCAGTATCCATATTTGACCGACGGTATCTTCCTTGTTGTCGACTCAAACCATTTATAATTAACACCACGCTTTGCCAAAATCCTCGAAAGCAGATAAGGGAAAATGTGACACATTATTAAATTAAGATGTATTGCATTTTATCAAGAATATTAATGACCTTTAAATCAACCACTTTTCTCTCACTAAGTGAAGTGCAATTTAGTAGAAAGGGTTGTATATAAGCGCGAAAAACCCGTGTTAACCAGTTTTTTTAGTTTGATATTAGCAAACCAAAAAAGCACGTACGTTAAAAGCGTAAACGGTAGGGAACTTGTGTGCTGTACATTACTCAGTTTCAGCCTGTTTTGGATTCTGATGAATATTTTACCGTGTTAAATTGATAGCTTACCTAAAGTCTTTCCCGCACTGCGCACACTTGTACGGTTTCTCCCCTGTATGTATGCGCAGATGCTGATTTAAAATGGTGCGCTGTCTAAAGTTTCGGCCGCAGTACACGCAACCGTACGGTTTCTCGTTCGTGTGGATCCTCAGATGTTGCGTCAAGTGACTCTGCTGCCTAAATCTGGAAAATAATTACGTGAGCTTATAGAGGAAGCGCGATAAACATCTACAGTAGTACCTTTTCCCACATTCCGGACAAGGATAGGGCCTGCTTTCGATATGTATGCAGCCATGCTGCAGTAGCGTGCTCTTCTGTTTGAACTCTTTCTGGCAAATCGGGCAACGGACGTAAAGCGGCATTCCTGCGGATCGGCCATGCTGGATAACATCCGGAAGGCCTTTTCCGCCTCCCTGACCTTGTTTTAGGTACTGGAGAGGGTTGAAGTTGGTACCTGGTCCGAACACTGAATGGTTCATACCTGAAGTCAACATTCCTATAGGTGGATTGAAAACATTTTTCATGGCATGGATCGCAACCACTTCTTTAAGTAGAGTGTTAGTAGTGTTTAGTACTAGTTCAGTTTAGTATTTTCAATTGTGTGTACCTAAACAAGTCCTACCTTTCGAGTCTTTGAAATAGGCAGGATATTGCAAATTGCCCACAACTCCGTTGGGCGAAAAGCAACTCGTCCTATCGTTCGGACCGTTTTCACCATCTCCATAAGTCGAAGTGACCTCCTCCTTGCCTTCATCGGGAGGAAACGGCACGTCTTGAGGCCAGAGAGTCGGGTTTATGCCATTTTTGAACACTAGATGGGGGCTCACGTCTGTAACAGGCACAGAAATACTAATAATTGGTTCAAAATTTTTCTATTGGAGTTTTAACACGTGAAGCGATAAAAGGAGGATACTGACGAGTGAAAACTTTTGTTTAACCGAAATCAGATAGAAAGTATTAGAACATAAATTTCTATCCTAAAATCACCAGCTGGTTTAAGATAGGCCTGGTAACTCAGTTAATTTTTAGGGAGTTGGCGCAGTGGATTGGTGCGCCAACTCAACGCACCGGCGCAGAAATTCAGTTCCGTTGTTGGGTAAAAGGTTGATGACTTTTTTTCACTTGTTTTTAGAATTATTTAAAGGGCCATTTTTTACATTTTAGAATTTTTCAGTTTTAGTCAAGTGACTCTTTCTTCTAAATGCTCAATTTTCTAAAGATTCACTTAAAAATGCCAAAATGCTTTAAGGAAAGTTTCAAAATCCCTTTCCAGCGTCGAATTTGGAACAAAAATCAAATCATTTTCTATTAAAAAACGAACAGAATATGCGAAAGTTTGTAACAGATTATTTGGAAATCTCGTTTCCCCTAAACACCGTAGAGTTTGTTAACAAAATGTGGTTTTTTAGGTTTGATTGATTTTTTTGCTTTACTTTCTAATCAAAAACGCTCTATTTCGTAGAGTTTCACTTAAAAATACTGATGATCTGGAGGTCTTTTACGCGAAAAATTCCAAAATAAATTTATAGCTTTGTAAAAATTTTACAAAAACTTTTTTCAGCGTCGAATTCGAGACAAAAACGAAAATAAATTCCTCCCGTTTTTTCCCGAAAACCGTTAACGTTTTCTCCAAAACCAATCTCAAAACTAAAAGTTTTTAATCGAAAACGCAAAAACCCATTATTTTCGGATGTTTTCCTTCTTTTCTGACAATAATGTGGCCTTTTGAGCCAAAAATTTCTAAATTAATTTTGCTAGACAATTCGCCTCATTCATCGGTTTGCAGGGAACTTTAGAAACCCTTTGCTGCTTCGAATTTGGCATAAAAACCAAATAATTTTATTCAGTTTTTTACCGAAAGTAATTAAGATCTTGAAAAGGAGGCCAGGGAGCAAAAGTTTACAAAAAATTATTTGGATTCGCCACATCACCCTGAAAATGTTTAAAGTTTCTTTACATTTTTGAGTCATTCTAGTTTTAACAAAGTTGCTATTAAGCAATTCTTTCTACGCAAAAATCGCATTATTATTTAGTTAAAATACTGACAATTTTCAGGTATTTTCTGTAAAAAATTATAAGAATTGGAACACTTGCCTCCTTAACCGCTTTGCAAAAAGCTTGAAAAGCGAAAATGTATAATCATTTATTTGGAAAACTCTTGTCAACTGGAGTTTCTTCACTTTTAGGTCAATATTTCTCAACAACCCTGTCTCTAAACAGAAAAATCGCGTTTTTCTTAACGTTTTACTGTAAAATACTGGCAAAGTGAATCTTTTTTGCGAAAAATTAAGAGATCGATTTTACAAGAAAACTCGTCGACTTTCTTTGGACTCACTTCTGTTGCTGGGAGAATCTAGATGACTTTTTAACAAATTCCATTCTCGGGTCTCGTACAGCTTAAATAAATGACTTATAACGCATTAACCGATGAGTTATAACTCGTTAACTCATAGAGCGGCAGCAACTCAACAGCGTCACTCAACACAGTGTTACCCAGGCCTAGTTTAAGAGCAGTTGAGTTTAGAGATGGAGCAGAAAAAAATACTTGCAAACTTGATTATCTGTTTTATGTTGCAAAGCTCATCTCGGTTATACAAAAAGTGTCCCAAACAGGTGTAATATTTACAGTACGGTTGAATGATTAACAAAATTATTTGCAGAAATCAGTCCAGTTGAATGTTACATAAATTCTTCGCCTGAAGGTAGAATTAGTTCAAATTGTCTGAGAGAAAACTCAAACTGTACCAGAAAATATACAGTGTAATTTTTTTCACGCGATTCATAAGAAGTTGTTAATGGAATTCATGCATCAAATTGATCATTTTAATGATTCTTCCGCTTTCGTTTGGAAACCTTTAATACACTGAATACTGGCTGATTTTACACGTCACACAATTCATTATTGTTTGGGCAGTTGCATCAGACCTTCAAGAAAATGAATCTGCAAAAAAATTAAAGATGCGAGTGTTTTCTTACATTGAAAAATCATCCTGCATACATTGAATAACATCCAATGACCCTGACCATGTTATTTACGATTATCTTATATATACAAAAAGCAAAATATTTCAAAATAACCTTAGCCCATGTTTGTTAGCGGGTGAACCAGCCGGAAACTGGAAAACCGTTTTAAATCTCCAATAACTGCTGATATTAAGCAAACTTTCCAGTTTCCAGCTGAATCGAAAACTAGTGAAATGGTGATAAGTGTGGAAAACAAGCAGCAGACCACTCCAACCGCCCGCGTCCACATCAAGCATTATTGTGTTTTCATCCTGAAGATGAACTTGAGGTTAACTACCGAAACGTCGGATGTTTGAATAGTTTTTTTTCGATTTTGGATTCGCTCAATGTCGTAATTGCCGTGTTGAATGGATTATGATCGGACAATCTTGGCCGAAAAAAAATATTTTCGGAAGATACATTTTAACAAATTAGTAATATTGAATAAATCTGGCTCATATTTTGTATGTATATAATTTAGAGGTTTTTTTATACCCTTGAATTTAATTTAAAGTCAAGCTCCTTTGACTTTTGCCACACCGACAATTTGCCAGTAACCCTTTTTGAAAATTGTATCAAACCAAAATTATAGAAATCATCTTTTAAAATTTGAACATTTTCTGTAAATCCATAAAAGCTAACAAATAAAAATAATCCTATAAATATAAAAAAAAAAAAAACTTTCAAAAGTTTTGAGTCAAAATACATATTTATCTGCATGCCTTTTGAATGGAGTAAAGCCCGTGTCCCATGCATCCGTTTGTACGATGATGCGATGGTACGAAAGTGTTTCTATTGGTTGGAGATCTGTCAATTCGTACGACGGCGGACGAATTGACAGATCTCCAACCAATAGAAACACTTTCGTACCATCGTATCATCGTACAAACGGATGCATGGAACACGGGCTTTATGCGATGGTCGCAAAGGCCCATTTTTATGTTTAGGCTAAAGCAATGCTCGAAACATTTATCTGGGCGCAAATGTTCTTATTGGTCCATTAAAAATTGTAATATCTGAAATTATTTTAAATTAACTGCTACTGAAAGCAATAGAATCGAATTTCTGGAGATGTTGTAAGCCACCTTCTCAATATCGTAATGCGGTATCCAGAAAGAGGAAAAAATCTACACAACCCCAAGTTTGGATGTCATTATTAAACATTTATAAAATGTACATTCTGGGATGATTTATCATCGTCCTTAGTGGACTCGAAGGCGGTTTTTTGGTCCGCGTTGGTCACGTTTCGCTTGTAAAATGAAATAAACGACCATCTTCAGGACACATGTGCTGCTAAGGCCGCGAGAGTGGCCGCCGCCAGAGGGCATTGCTCGCCTTGGTGTGTGCGGACGTGCTGGTTGAGAATAGCCTTCTGCCGAAAGTGTTTCCCGCACTCCGGACATTCGTACGGCTTCTCACCCGAGTGTATGCGCAGGTGCTGGTTGAGGATGGCCCGCTGTCGAAACGTGCGCTCACAGTACACGCACGCATACGGTTTTTCATTGGCGTGGATGCGCAGATGTTGGGTCAGATGTGACTGTTGTCGAAATCTTTTCCCGCACTCTGGACATCCGTAAGGCCGACTATCCGTATGGATACGTTCGTGCTGGAAACAAAATTAGTTAAAACCAGCATCTTTGAGGAACAGAAGGTCTGCCACCTGTAACAAAGTGCTCTTCTGCTTGAAATCCTTGCCGCACGTCAGACATTTAAACAGTCTCAGTTCCCCGTTCAGTCCGTTGCTCGCTTTCTTCAGGTTGGCTTGCTGCTGCTGGATCACATCGGGCAGCGACGCACTCCTCAAGTCTTGCATATTGGAATATTGATCCAATTGGCCTCCTAGATAAAACTCTACATATAACGCCATCAAGGCGCATTCTTTGCTGTACGAACCTCCATCCGGTCCCAGGCTGGTCAACATCATGCCCGGTTGCTTGAGGTATTGCAAGGCCGAAAAATTCGCCCCAAGCATATGAGGAGGCACACCAGGAGGAGGCGCAGCCGGCGGAGGAGCCCGCGCATACTGCTGGTAGGCTTGTTGTTGCTGATGCGCTGCTACCACTTGTTGTTGGGCCGTCTGCTGTTGCTGAAGATCAGTGGGAAAACATTGTTGGGACGAAGGTCGCGGTTCCAGGTCCAATGAGGGGGCTTCTGGTTGGATCGGGTCCGAATCGTCCCGGCCTGGTTCTGCTTGCGTGGCTGGGTATGGGGACGGGGCGGGGGACGGTAGGCTCTAAACACACAACTACTTTTGAAGAATTCACCCGGAAAACGCCCATATTTTTGAAAATCGTTCATTCAAATGTTTCCATAGCTTATACAGGGTTATTCACGCTATACGGCATGGAAGTTTGCGGCTAAACCGTATGATTTTTAAAAAGTATTGTTTTATGAATTGTCCGACGCCTACCGAGCGCACATTTTAAAAATATTTTTGTGATGTATAGGGTGTCCCAAAAGCTCTAAAGGTATCAAAGTTGCGTTTTTTTAAATGG